TTTTGAGTTGTGAGCCGCCCTGAGTCCCCTTAGGGAAAAGGGCGGCATACAAATGAAATAAAACTCTAAACTCTAATGAAATGTTTGAGAGAAAACAGCCAAGCCCAGAGAGCACCAAGGACCCCCACAGTTCAGCCTGGGACTATTCTCTATTCATCCCTACTATGGATTCTGCCTAGATGGAATTAGTTCCGCTGTGAACCCCGGGAACTCTACTGGGAAAGGGCTGTGCCAATGGTGGGAGATGAGTTATAGAGGAGCTGTTAATGACAAGGCGAGGCCATTTAGCCTTGCTTATCACCATAGTTTTGGCCAAAATGAAGCTCCAGAAATGATGCCTGCTCTGATGTTGGAGGAAAATGAAAAGTTAATTCATTGAAGTTCATTTTTTTTATCTTTCTCCGCCATCAGTGCATGCACCGGACCTTCCTTTCTGGATGGTCTCCTTAATCAAGGCACCAACTAGGAACTGAATCTAGAAAAAGGCCGCATGGGGGCGACAAAGGTCCACACCCAATTTACCTTGAAATGCTTGCTGGAAAGACCCCAGCTGCCCACAGGAAGCCTTGGGCACCGTCTGAATCAGTCCCACCACCCCACGGAGGGCACGGGTGGTCCTTAATTGCAGCTGGGTCAGGGCACGATTGGACCATAGCAACCAGGTAATAAAAAGCCCATCCATCTCTAGATCATTTAACAGAACAACAGAACTGAAAGGGACCTTGGAGGTCTTCTAGTCCAACCCCCTGTTCAAGCAGGAGACCCTCCACCCTTCCAGACAAGTGGCTGCCCAGCCTCATCTTAATACGAGGTCTGAGGCAGGATGTTTCCAGACGACAGAGGCCACGAGGCAGCCCCCAAGGCAGGAGATTGTCACTCAATCAGCAGCTCAGTTCCTCTGCCTCCTTCTCAGCCAGATTCAGGACTTCAAAGGAATTCTTGGTGTCCTTGAAAATTGTGGGCAAATGTTGAGATCGTGTCACAGACAGACACTGGGTGCCTTTCTTCTTCTTCTTCTTCTTCAGCTTCACTCAGAAGGTCCGCGGGAGCAAAGCGAGATTCGTTCCAGGGTCAGCCCCTGATCACCTATTTGCCTTTTTTGGCTGAGCTCTTCCTCGCGGGTGTCCACAATTATAGGAATTATAGGCCTCATTTTAGTTGTTTGAAAACTGTTAACAATGAAGGACTAATTGGCAGAAGCTAATAAATCTTCCCCCTGCTTCATTCCTGTTTCCTAGTCCACAGAGTCCGGTTGTTTCCATTTGGCTGGGCACCAGCACGAGGCGTTTCCTCCGGCAAGGCGGGTTCTGTGGATGGCAGACGCCCCATCCCTCCCTCCCTCCCTCCCTCCCTCGGACCTCCCTCCCTCCCGCCAGGAGAGTTCTAAGCGACGAACCCTTGCAGTGGCTCTCCTCGGCCACCTGGTGGTGCCACATCCACGCATTCAGGCAATGAGCGGCTTTGCCTGCCTCCTCACCGGAGGCGATCGCCCTCTGGCAGAATGGGGGCGGTCATCGCCTGGCCCGCCCCGTTTCTCTCGCAGCCCTCTTGCTTGGAGCACTTGCGGGGCCCGCGGGGACCCTTGCCTCTTCTCGGGTTGGCAGAGTTGCTGGGCAAGCACGGTCGGGAGACCCAATTCGTAATTTAATAAACTTACATTAGACCTCGCTTCTAAATGGCACTGAGCTTGAGAGCAACTCCCAGCAGACCCGTTTAGATGCCCCTGACTGGGGAAGGGCGCCAAGGAAGAGGGAGGTCTAACGTAAGTCCCACTTCAGCTGCTGGCAGCCACGGAACCCAGCCAGGCCGGGGGAGGGGCTGGGGGGGGCGGTGCCGGGCCGCATCCAGCTTTGCCTGCTGCCCACTCGGGTGACATGAAGCTGCGAGAAGTTGAAACATGGTCTCTGCGGCCAAGGCTGGCTGGAGCTGCCCGGGGCCTGGAAGGAGCGCCCCACCGCTTGAGTCTTCTCCCCCTGCCGGTCCTGCAGCTCTACGAAGGGTCCCTTTCCTCGAGAGGCGCTCTCGGCCCACCGAAACTGGGGAGTGGTCGGCAGCGTTGGGCTGCCTTCTCCGGATGCCAGCCGTGTGGTCATCCAGCGGTTCCCTTATTGGCGGGGATCCCGACGTCCCCTCTGCCCCCGAGATCCCTCCTCCTCCTCCTGACCCACAGAAGGAGCCCAAGCAAAACGCCGCCCCTCCCTCTGATCGCCCAGAACGAGTCCCAGCAAAGGGCGGCCGAAGAACCGACGGGGCCCAATCGCCTCCGGGGAGATCCTGGCGCAGGTGGGGGCGGCTAACGTCCCCAGAAGCTCCGGGGAGACGCGCCTTTCACGGGGAAGCCGCCGAAGCCCCCCAGGGACCTCCCCCCCCCACCGCGATCCTCTCCTCCCCCGCAGCCTCCCGGGCGGCGCACGTGGTCCGGGCTGGGCCGCGCGGCAGGGCGGGAAGTGTAGTTCCTCTCTCGGGCGCCCACAGGCCCCGCCCTCCCCCACCCGGAAGTGGGCTGGCCACTCCAAGATGGCGTCTCCTCCCGCGGGGGGCCCGATGGCGATCGCGATGCGGCTCCGGAACCAGCTGCAGGCCGTCTACAAGATGGACCCGCTGCGGAACGAGGTGAGGCGGGAGGCCGGCGGGTGCTCCGCTCGCTCGGGGGCCCCGCGGGCGGCGGCAGCAGCAGCAGCAGCATCTTCCGCGCCGGCGGCGGTCCTACGCGCGTGGGGAGGGCGGGCGGGCGAGCCCGGGGCCGCCAGTGGGGAGGTCGGGGCGTCCGGAGGGGAGGGGAGGGGGAGGCTCTGGCCGCCCGTCCTTCGGGCAGCGACTCTGACCGTCCCTCCGCCCGCAGGAGGAGGTGAAGGTGAAGATGAAGGAGCTGAACGAGCACATCGTCTGCTTCCTCTGCGCCGGCTACTTCATCGACGCCACCACGATCACCGAGTGCCTGCACACCTGTGAGTGGGGGCGGGAGGGGAGGAAGCGACGCTGCTCCCCCCGGGGCTTCCAGGAGCGTCCACTCCCGCCCTTTGGGGCAGCAGCAACTGCGACCGGCCCCTGCCAGGCGGCCCCCTGCCCCCCCAGGGAAGCTCCTCGCCCTTCAGGCTCAGGAAGTTCATCTGCCAGAGGCTGCCCGCAACTCCTCCCTCCCAGTCTTCTTATCCACCGGCTTATTCAGGGGTTGTCCGATACTTTCGACTGCTCTCCTGAACGCCCCCCCCCCACTCCCGCACCGATCCGCTGAACGTGCGCAGAGGAAAGAGAGTGGAGCTCCCCTGTGCCATCATGGTCTCCCTCCCGCAGGTTGCTGCTGCTCGAGTTCGGCTGCTCTGCGCTGCCCACAGGATTCTGCCCTGGGCCCAACAAGAAAGTTGTGGGGGGGGGGGGGGGAGAAAGAAGAGAGGCTGGGGATGAGGGGCAACTTGCTGGCACAGCAGGGAACACTCTGTGTGTGTGTGTGTGTGTGTGTGTG